AGTGGTCCCCAGCCAGCCGGATCAGCAGGGTCCCTGGCTGGCCGGAGCAGCTGCGGCTCCCGGCAACTAGTGCCGCTGGCCTCAGGCTTCCCCCCCCCCCCGCCAGCATCGGCCCCCATGCCCATCCTAGTGGTCTCCCCCAAAGTTTCAATGACAGGTATTTTTAGTATAAGTCATGGTCAGGTCACGGACTGTGAATTTTTGTTTATTGCCCGTGTCCTGTCCATGACTTTTACTAAAGGTACTCATGACTAAATCGTAGTCTTAATCATGGATGATATAGATTGTATGGTCCTAAAGGAGAAAGTTGCACACTTCTCCAAATTCTCATTGTCCTGAGAGACGTCATCATCATCATCACAAAATGGGGGATCACATTTGTAGATGAATAATGTTCAAGGCCAGAAGGACCTTTTCACCATCTACTCTGACCTGTATACCATGAGCCATAGAATTTCACCCAATTACCTCTGTATTGAGACCAGTTACTTATGTTGACTAAAGTGTATTTTCCAGAAATACATCGAGTGATGGAGAATCTACCACTTCCCCTGTGATGTGTCCCTTCTACCTCACATAGGTGCTGTCTGTAAACAGAAGAATATCTTGTTGTCAAGAGCTTACTTTTGCAAACACTGAACAGGGTTACAAGTTAGTACAGTGTCTGGCTTGTAGCTGGGAGCAAAGACCAGGGGTCAGAGTTATTAGTGTCCTTCTGCCCAAAGGCAATAGATAAGGATGGCCCATTCTTTCTCATCCTCCACTGAATGCCAGAAGTACTTAGAAAGTTATGAAACTCATCATGCCATGCCTCCGACACGAGCAGCAAGTCTCCTGTTAGTTGTGTAATCCATGTGCTCAGATAAGTGCTGTGGAAACATATGACATGGCTGGAACCAGATTTACTGGCATGTAGTTGGAGAATAGTATCAGGGGGTAGCCGTGTTAGTCTGAATCTGTAAAAAGCAACAGAGGGTCCTGTGGCACCTTTAAGAGTAACAACAGTATTGGGAGCCTAAGCTTTCGTGGGTAAGAACCTCACTTCTTCAGATGCAAGACAGTTGGAGAATGTTGAGCTGTAATGTAGCAGGAACAAAGACTGAGTGTAAATGCAGTGAGGTCAAACTCTATTTCATTAACAGAACACTATATTTGTAAAGAGGTGGTTAACCACTCCTGTACTGTACAACTTCAGACACTGGGTGAAATCTTGGCCTCGGTGAGGTGAATGGGAATTTTGTCCTCCAATGACAGGAGTTCACCCTCTGACTGCTAGTCAGAAAAACAGAGATAGAGCCCCCAAGCTTCCGCCTTTTCTCATAGCACCCTTAAACTGCAGAATTATAAAGCCATACTAATGCCAGAATTAAATAAATTGAGCTTAAAGGCTGAACTAGTTTCCTGACCCTAGAGGTGGTCCCTCAAGTGCAAGGTTGATGGAAATTGGCAGGGCAAGGTGGGGAAAGCTTATGACGCTGCTACCCGTTCTGTTGATCTATCAACTTCACTCTCCAGGACTGTAAATCTACCACCTTTCATCAGAGCTAAAATCCCTCTTCATTTTTTCCCTTTGTTAAAAACACCAGAAAAAGGTTCTCTCTGGAGCTAAGAAGTGACTGCCTTTCAAGAGTTGTACTCAGTTAAATACAGGAAATAAGTAATCTCTCTTCCCACAGCAAAAGGCACTTCAGCTGCCTGAAAACACTGAGAAGGAGAAAAAAGAACTGAAAGTGTTTTCTTAAATTACAATTGTGGCAATGAATCCTCACACTACTATCCTGGGTAACATAATGCAAATTGCCCAGGCTGACAAAGCTGCAGCAGAGCCAGAAGCTTTCTACTTTCAATTCTCAAGTGCAATGAAGATTGATCTCAGCTCCCAGCTTAGCCGTCACATGGATTTTGCCAATCTTCCGTTTTGTACCCAATGAAAATATCAATAGCACGTTTTCTTTAATAATATTTTTAAGATGGAAGATAAATCAGTGGAAGCATTCCAAATACTTATTTCATACAAATGATAATTAAACTACTTTGTATGTGAACAAAGTTACTAATTGATTGGTTTTTTTTTATTATAATGAAACATTTTGCAAGGATTAACAGCTTCTTTAGGAAACACTGATCTCTGACAAGATAGTTACATCTCAATATGTTTGTAATGATCAGGAAGTTTAGCATTTGAATAACACAGTACCATAAGCTTTCAAATCTCTTTTCATGAGATGCAGCAAATACTAAATATTAAATACGGAATAAAGCATCCCATAAACATAGTTGATATTGGTAAAGACCTAAAACATGACATACATCATAATTTTTAAAAAATCAAATGTGACTTTACTAAGACAAAATGCATCTTTTATTAAATCTAAACTCAATGTTTAATAGAGACATCTGAAAGAGACAATGTCAAGTAGTGGAAATAGCAAAATGTTGGTTTTGTTTAAAAAGAGGAATGGAGGTTATATTATCTAATACAAATAGAAAAGTTTTCATGATTGATTTTTAAAAAAAAGTGTTTTATTTAGATTCCCTTTCAGTGCAAGAAACCCAAACATGACAGAAGGGTGCTAGTCCATGGAAACCAGATACTGATACTGATACTGACTGCAACTTGAAAGCGAAGAAAGCCAGTGTAGTTTCACTGTCTAAGATGAATGAAGTGCCAAAAGTAAACAGCCAGCATAAGTGGTGAAAAGTCAGTCTTTTTAATATTAATATCAATATTGTTAAGTAATATTTTTTCTAATATATGTCTTTTTATGATGGTATGTCCCTTTAATTTGAAGACTTATCAAATACAAGCACTATGGAAACAATTTTCAGTATGTGACAAGGAGAGTAGTGCATTTATCTTATTCCCAGTGACAAGCCTCAGTGAAAAATTAGGTAGCATTTTATACAAATGAAAGAAAGTCTGTGTCACTGAACTTCTTGGCTTTTGTGGTCCCATCTTTTAAGTATTAGAGAGAACACTTAAAGTAATAGATAAAGAAAGCAGGGACACTATACATTCTCTTATGAAAGTACTGAACAGGCCTTGACACCTAATAGTAAACATATATCTTTCAAAGAAATGACATTTTACCAAAAGCTTGATCTTTAATGGGCTACTGTCTAAATCCTATAATGGAAGTAATTTACCAAATTGGTTTGGAGGCATATTAAGGCAATACAGGAACCAGGGTCTGCATCATTGATAACGTTATTCGTGCACTTGCTAGTCCATTAGCAGAGTGATTCATCTGAGAGCAGCAAAGAACCAGACTTTCCCAAACATACATACACACATAAAATAGATCCCCAAAGGAACTAAACAGCTGTTCCATTTCCTAACGTACCTGCTGCTGGCATAGGAGGGAGCAAGTGACCATTAGGGTTCATACGTTGAACAAGATTATTTTTTGCCACTTTTAAACGGATGTCATTTTACACGGATGGAATGTTTCAGCCCCCCTTTGAATGAAGCTGCAGTTCATGAGCTGGCTGTTCAATTACGAGAAGCCTCAAACAAAATACACAGCTTTGAACTACTGAACTTAACATGACATTACCCAGCATTAGAAAGGCATGCTCTGATAACTCCAACGTGCAGAGGAGGTTATTTAAGGGAATGCATTCTCTGTCTCATAATCGTACACATTCTTTCTCCCTATCTCTTCCCTGCCCTAGCCTCTCAGGGCTAGCCTGTAGCTGCAGAAACCCCTGCTAGGTTGGGAGGAGCAGGAGGGGTGCCAGCAGCCATAGCTGTTGGCACACACAGGAGCGGTGACTGCTGCACTCTTTACAAGTGTGGCCCCCTCTTCCCCTCAGTGCTGGCCCCAAACCACAGATGTAGGGAGAAGTGGGAGACAGAGCCAAAATTAAATTGCAGCCCTCTGGGGGGGCTTCAGAGCAATGGCCACCCTCTCTTGCACTCAGGAAACTAGATTCTCTCTCTGCGGGTTACAAGCACCTGCCACTGAGGTCAATGAAATATACATGTGTGCTGCAGGGGGCAAATGAGAGCCAGGAAGCTCAAGGAAGAAGTTCTGGCTGCCCCATGCAGAAGATCAGACTGATGACGAGAGCTCCCTTTCTCCCATTTGTTCAGCCATGCAAGGGAAGCCAGAATATGGCCCACAATTTCTGTTCCTCACTCAGAAATATTCCCTCCCTCCCTGCCAGAGATGTAGGGCCAGATCCTCAGTTCCAGCTGAGCTGAGGAAGTGTCTGGTGGGGGAGGAGGGCACGGTGGGAAGGGGAAAGACGTTTTTTTCTGCTCCTCTGATCCTGCGGCGAGAACTTAAAGCAGCTTCAAGACTACTCTGGCTTATGCTGTCAGAAACAGCTTCCTAGAGGCCGCGCTGCCGGAGCAGGCTCAGCAGAGCACAATGTGCTCCATCCAGACCCCCTTCCACTCTCAGCCTGCTCTAAACATACCCTTATGGCAGCTTTGTGCAACCCAAGGATTTCTCCAGCTGCCCATGTGGGACAGCAGATTTTTGCCTGTTTAACACTGCCTGAACAGCTGGATTGGGAGCTGAGAATCTGTCCTGTACCTTGAGGCACCCTCCCTTCCGTATTTACACATACAACTACCCTCTTCTTTTCTCAGCATCGGAGCAATTTTTTTTCTCCAACAGACAATTAAAACCTTCAAGACAAATTCTAATTTCTAGCTTCTGTGTCTTGCCCGGTGTCAGAATTTTTACACTGTGGATCAGAAATGAACTTAAGTGAAATAAAATCTATTTCTTACTTCTTACTGTCCAGAAAAAAAAGGAGCTTACTGCAAACTTAAGAAAACTCTATCTCATTTCCCTTAGTCATCCTGGCAGTGACTCACTGTTTGGTCACAAATGGGTGATTCTCAACTCGAGATACTGGTGGGAATTTCATGTTACAGTCAAAGTTGGGGAGAGGGTTTCCACTCCTACCCATACTGATATTTACCTAAAAGAACACATAGCAGGAGCTGAGAAATGCCAGCAGGAGGTGCCTTTTCACAGTCCTGTGAAACCTGTGCAAAAGGAACCCTTATTAGGCAGCCTCTCCTCCCATAAATGACCACCCCAATGTATCCAGAAGCATACTAAGTACAATTATACTCCACCTTTATTGGGAGATCACTTACATTAAGAAACCATCTTTTGCTGGCTCCTTTTGCTTAAAACAGATTTCACTATATTCATGTTTATTTAGTCAAATATTTCATTCTACAGGATAGTGACAATGAAGTGTGATACTTATCAGGGCCGGTGCAACCATTTAGGCGACCTAGGCGGTCGCCTAGGGCACTAGGATTTGGGGGCACCATTTTCTTCGGCAATGACCGCGGCGGCCGGCTCTTTGGCTGCCCTGGTCGCCGCCGGCAATTAGGCGGAGGGAGCTGGGGCAATGGAGCGCGGGAAGGGCCACCTGTAGCAGGAGGGGTGCGGCATGCAGGGGAACTCCCCGCCCCAGCTCACCCCTG